GTTTTAAATGTTCATATGGGATAAAATAAAGTTCATCTACTGGATATTGTGTTAACACAATTAGTGATTAAATGTGGCAGCTTCAGATCAAAAAAACAAAACAAAACAAAAGGTGCATTAATTAGGCAGGGAGGCTGTATTTGTTTAAATGATTATTTTCTGCATAATTTATCAAAATTAGTTGTTTCTGTGTTATTGCCACTCTTGTCAGGTTGATCTGGCTCATTTCCATGTTTCACTAATGCTATTCCACATTAATTACTGTACAAATAGGCCTCATTGGGGGAAATTGTGAAAAGCACACTACTTACATTTAACCCTTCATCCCCAAAGTACTCTTATTAGCTTAACAAATTATATTCTGGCTCATCCTATGATATCATGTACCCACCTCTGGGGGAAACATGACAATAAGTGCAACACAATCTAAAGTGAAGAACACCCCAAGCAAAGGGAATTTAGGTAGACAGCATGCAATTAACCAAGCTGGAATCTGGCCAGGAAATCATAGTTAACATTCCGATTCTTAATGGAAAAAGACATGGGAACATGGACTAGCCACAAGTCTGACTGAGCTCAGGTTTATCCTCATTAGAAAGCCAGTACTCAAATCCATCCCTCAAGTTACAGACTATAGTTTCCAGTACAGTGATCTGTAAAGCACTTTCTGGAAAGCAAATCTGATTTTCTCCTATTTGTCCTTTACTCTAAGGAAATAAAATCATCAAATGAATTGTTGAAACCTTTTTCTAAGGTGCCTAATGGAATACTGCATGGAAGACAAAGTGAGCATTCTAGTAGGGAGGTATTCCTCTGCCAGGGGGTTATATCACCAAAGAGTAGGTTTAAAAATGAATTCTACTTTGAGTATGATCTTCTCTTTCACCATTTATCTTAGATTCTTTTTCATTAGCCTTAACTTGTATTAAGACTTTAAAATTTTCAGACAAATTAATCTATATTTTTTCATAATTTGGGCACAATGAGCTTTTTTCTCCATTGATGATTCAGCAATTTGTGATAGTAATACTAATATTACTATTAGCAATAGTAATTAGTATTACTAATGTAATAAGAGCATTAGACAGGTGTGACAGCAAAAGCCCAGGATGAAAGCTTCAATTCTTATTCAGGACTGGAGAGTTGCCTAGTGTCTATTGGGACAAGAATATGACAAATACATTAATGTACAAGAGCAATAAGAAAATTAATAGACTCCTGTTCTGACTTAATGCTTTCTCTTAGTGGATTGTTGATTTACCTAATGGCTGTTGTGTTCATAGGGCCTTTTGGTGTTTGTTAAAGTAGTAAAATTATCTTTATTATTAGATATTTATCAATAGTAAATGTGGTAAAGGGGGAGCAGTCAAACTCAAAGTAGTTGTAGAGAAAAGATTAAGATATGACCCTTCTAAATTCTATAGCTTAGTTACTCCAAATCCTTGGTATAAATTTGCAAAATTCAATAAATTACTTCTAAGGGAATTTCTTTTAAATGCATGTGATCAAATCATAGCCTATTCTAAAGGACAAACCTTCATAACAGAATCTGTGACATTTAGCGCTGATTTACTTCTCAACACAAGTTGATATAAACGTGTAGAAGAGGTAATCTGGGATTTTTTGCTATCCTCACAATGAACCAGGGCAATAAATAGAAAAAGATTAGCAGGTGATGGCACAGCAATCGGAGTAGGAAGATTTCTTAAAGATAAAAAATATGTGGAGCAGCACCTATCTCACGGTGATCTGCATTTAATCTGTGGGTCAATTCCAGAGTTGACAGAAGCCAGTGATTTATGCCTTTGCAAGCTAAAGGTAACCCGCCTAGCTGGGCAGATATAAACATTTATTAATGGTGAGTGAGCAAAGCACTCTCTCTCTTTTTCTCTCTCTCTCTCGTTCGCACACACAGAGGTATCAAGTGGTCATGGATGATTCATGCTTTCAAGCTAAAAATTTTGGCTGCCACCAAAGATGAGCATAGACAAGCAAGCAAAATGAATCAGCTGCCTGACAATATTTACCTCCATGGCATATTGATCCATTTGGAAAGTCTGTTTCATGGGGTACTATTAAAGGATGAGAAAAACAAAAAGTAACAACAAAAACTCCCGCTCACAGCTCTTTCCAAATCAATTTTCTCTGGCTTCTTCTCGAAGTGCTTCACTGACCTTTGCAGGGCTTCTCTTTGATGGTGGCTTATGGAAAGCAGGCAGCTGCAGCAGCTCCAGGCTGACTCCCTGAAAACTTACATTTAATGTTTTTCTTTGAACTGGAAATTAAGAATAATCTCAGACTGCAGGATGTGTGTTTGAGAAGTTGGAAAGAGGACTTTGATGGACTTGCCAGATGTTTCAAGAATGACTAAGGAAAATCTAACACTGAGAATCCAGGGTTTTGCAGACACTCAATGTTCATTACTATAGATATTACACAAAACCTGATGGCAAAGCCTTCCGTGTAATGCTGGCACCTACAAAGCATTCATGAAATGCTATCAACACTAGTACTATCACTATTGTTACGACTATTATTCATCACAACTGTGGTTACTACTATTTATTATTATTATCCAGTATCTATGCAGTGTTCATGCAACTGTAAATATCATTCCTGGATATGAGAATTTCGGCCAAGGTGAAATGCTACATCTTGATTCTTAAATGGAAGGAGCCAAAACCAAGGAATCAGTTTATATCCTTTAATCCTTGATGGCAAAACCAAGACCATTCTCACAGAGTTGGTACACCAGAAGTTTCCTGAGATTAATCATTCCCCCACTTCAGGTAGAAAGAATGTGGCTCACACTTTTTTGTTTTGTTTTGTTTGAGATAGAGTCTTGCTCTGTCACCCAGGCTGGAGTACAGTGGCATCATCATAACTCACTGCGGCCCTGAACTCCAGGGTTCAAGTGATCATTCTGTCTCAGTATCCCACGTAGCTAGGACTACAGGCTATCTTTTTTATATATATATATTATTTTTATTTTATTGTAGAGAGGGGATCTCACTGTGGTGCCCAAACTGGTCCTGAGCTCCTGGCCATAAGCAGACCTCCTGCCTTGGCATCCCAACGTGCTGGGGTTACAGGCATGAGCCACCACATCTGACCAATCTAGAAGCACTGCAGTGGTACCAATAGCTATTCTAGCAGCTGCAGAAGATTAACTGATACTCTATACCTTGTATCATGAGAATAAGAGCAACTGAAAAAATACATGATTACGTAGAAATCATATATAAAAGTACAAAAAAAGGATACAATATTCTGTAAAAGGTGGTAAAATCATTGTAACCAATAATTAAGACAGGTGATTTAGTATTGAGAGAGTTTCAGCTTCCTTCCCTTGCTGAGCACATGATCTGCTTACCCTGGGCAATTACTAATGAGGGTGGTGCCCTGGGGAGCTTTTGGGCTTGCAGCACTGTATTTATTGGCATTTAAAGCCCCACCTACTTGGTGGTGAACAAATGGCTGCTTAGGGATTTGTGGGAAATAAAAAATTATGATAGTAATTAGAAGCACAATAAGAATATGTTGCACCTTTTCTTCCACATGGGCAAGGTCTCTCGGAAAAAAAAAAAACACCTCAAAAGATGAATCATGCAAGATCATGAACTTGGAAAGAGAAAGGAGGAGAAACATAGATGGCTATATAGAAAAAATATATTAATTCTGTGACCATATAATATCTTCCTCAGCTTACCAACCATAAATCAAAAAGCACAAGTAGTATAAGGCCAGGTTCCATATTAAAGGCTGATAGTGTGATACATCTATTTCATATTAATTACTAAGAAGACAACAGATGGTAATGGCCTTCTATTAACCCAGGGCAGATTTAAACTGGTGACCTATAATTGCAATTCTTCAGATCATATAAACTCCTTATGCTAGTTACTGTATTTGGTCTTGTATCATTCTGCCCTGCTTGAGATAAAGAATAGGTTCAGGTTAAATGGATTAATATTCCTAACAAAATGGAAAGAAATATCTAAAGACAAGAGAAATATGCACTGTGAATCACAATGATTCATTTTTATCATTCATTATTTGACCTGCCACCCTCAAACATTATTTTCAAGATCAGCAGCTGGACAGTTTACATACTCACTGCTCTATATTCCCTTGTTTTATTAACAGTAACATTTAAAAAACCACTTGCAGGTAATAATAAAAACTACCAATAATATTCCTATTATATCAATGGCACTGAAACTTAACTCTAATGAAAACTGTTTCTTATTTTGATTGCCAAAGATTATACTATGGGTGATATTTGTGTCCAACCTAATCAATTAATGCATTTGATTTTGATATTATTTTAATGACATATAATGATAACAATTTGAGAAGCCCATATTTTCCCTATTCTATTACTTTCCCCCTCCTCATAATTGGAGGTGTCATCTCAATTCTTGCCTTCTATTTATTTTCCTCTATATTTACTTCCTTGTAGAGTTTATTCTCACTTTTCAGTAAACAGGAGACACATTTATTGAGACTTTTCTATGTGCTGGGCACTGTTCTAAAGGTTTCCCTTGTATTTTCTTATTTAATGATGACAAAAAGAGGTGGATACTGTCATTATTCCTGTTATAAGTAAAGACACTGCAAGGTTAAATAAATATTAAGGCAAGATTTGAACCCAGGCAGTTTTAATAGTTGTGCTATATCCAGTGCCATTCACAGCATGTTCAGTGCCTTTAAGTCATCACTGAATAGAAAATTCATCTTCTTTCCTTACTAACTAGATCTTCTTGATATTTTTCCAACTTTTCCTTCATTTAATTAGCATGTATAATAATATACCATGAGTTAAATACTGGGGGTTCAAAAAATGGTTGAAATACTCCCTAAGATTAAGAAGCTAACATTTTAAGCAGGGAGAAAAAAATATAAATAACCATAAAGCATTTTTTTTTATTTCAGCATATTACAGGGGTACAAATGTTTAGGTTACATATATTGCCTTTGCCCCACCCGAGTCAGAGCTTCAAGCGTGTTCATCCCCCAGACGGTGCGCATTGTTGTAAACGCTGTCGTAAAGGTATATGACCAGTGTAGTAGAATGCTGAAGCGGAATTAGTTTAGCCACACTTTTGGTTGAGGTCCCAAGGAAATAGGTGGCAACTACTCCACCTCACTCCACAAGGGAGGTGATAGACCATAAGGACCTAGCAAAAAAGGTGGCAAAATGGCTTACTCACTCACTCGCATTGAGGGTGTACAAGCATGAAGTTGAAGTGGGAAGGAATCAGACAGCAGAAAGATGTTTTATTTTGAAAGATTTGGGTGACCTGTGAGTCCCACCTATGTTCATGTGAACAGGGAGGGTCCCTCTCAAGCCCAGTGCACAGGACTTCAAGGACACCACTTGGAGGGCACGCTGTGTGCCCTGGGGTGTGGATCAGTGCCTGGAGCTGCTTGGCAGGTGACAGAGTAAAAAGTGGGCTGCACTAGAAGTAATGCCTCTCCTCCTGATGATGGATTCCAGGTAAGTGTTTACTACAGACTAGGCTTCGGCCCCTGCACACAGACGCAGTCCAGTCTAGGCTAACATCTTGCCCCAAAGGGCTCCACGGAGGGACAAGGTGCCCTCAGCACAAAGATGTTGTATTTATTAGTCAGAGGTTCAATGCTAAGAGAGGAAGCATGCATGACTTGTTTGAGAGATGCTTTGGGGAACTGCAGGTGAGACAGTCCCAGCTTTAATGAATGGAAGGATTTCCAAATAACCTATCAGTAGATTTAAAAGAGAGCCAGCTTTGATCACTTGCCAAGACCAGGAATCAATAATACCAGCTCACAATCATACTTGCCTCTTTCTTCTTCTTTTTCCTCCAGACCAAGCCCTGGAGGATTCAGAGGCTGAAACTAGTTGGGAGAGGTGGAAAGGGAGAAGGAGCTGATTGCTATCTACATTTCTACTACAACAGACCTAGGCTGAAAGAGAGAAGTTGTAGGTGAAACTTAAGAGTTTTTGCATTATTAGCTGATCATATCTGAAACTGAACTGAGATATTTGGGAGACTAAAGTGACTTGAATGACTTTTTTGGCAGAGCAGGGATAAAAGGACTGTCAGAGAAAATTAGAATGGTTACTGGAAAAAGAATGGCGTTGTTTGCTGTAGCCAGTCTCCACTCCAACTCCTGTTTGTTTAACATGATGGTTGCACTAGCACAGAGAGGAGGAAGACATAAGCTATGCAAAGAATCCCAGAGACAATGGCATTTGAACTGGGCCTCTATGGATGGAGAATTACTAGAAAGAGAAAAATAAAGATGGAAAACCAAACCTAAAGGGATTAAAGTATGAAATTCTGAGTTCTATTTGTGATGCTGGAGCACAATGGGTAGGAGATGAGGAAGAAAAGTGAGGCTGGGCCAAGACTGGAAAGAGCCTTGAATAACAAGACAGAGATTTCGGCTTGTATCCTTGAGGCCTACATAGGAAGCCATCAGAGGTGTTGAGTATGGAGGTAGCATGATATAATTTCTGTTAAGAAGTGATGCTGGAGTTTTTGTCAGCAGCATCTCTTTGGATGACCCCCGGCTCTAACACCCTTGTCAGGTAGTTGGCTACATTAGACTGTTGGCTTCTCTTTCTTTATAGTTCCATGTCCCGTACTCTACTTCACCTCCTATATGGGTTACTGAAAATGCCTCCTGCACTCATAAGGGAAATATTTTAATACTTCTACCTCCTTAAGTTCACTTTAGTTCATTAGTCAGTACCTAAGATGTACCAGTAACTAGAATTTTGAAAACAAAATCAGCTATTACAATGTGGAAGAGAGGGGAGCAGAGAGTGCATGGGCTAAACTTCCTAAATTCTTTTTTAAAATGTTTTTACAAAAGCTTTATTGAAGCTATATTGTTTAATATACTATTCAATTCACCCTTTTAAAGGATACATTTCAAGGGATTTTAGCTACGTTTACAGAGTTGTGCAGCTATCACTCTATAAATATATCACCACTCTCTAATTTTAGGACTTTTTTTCACCAAGATCACAATTTTATTAATATATTTTAAACTTCCTAAATTCTAATGTACAAAAATCAGTCACTTGGAAGGAACATGTACACATGGAACAAAGCTGGAGCAAGACCAAGAAATATGAGAAAAACAAAATCTTTTAACTTACAGCCAGAGTGATGGGGGAAAAATGGGTAGATAATTGAACAGGTGGATGTTGGGAAGAAAAACAAGAAAATCAGGAAGCACTGTCAGTTTATATTTAATACTTGTAAGAACAAATCTATGTGGGAACTGAGAGCAAGTTCTGTAATCAGATTTCTATATTTTAATCTTGATCGTGCCACCGGTGAGAGATGTATTTTGGATTGGAAAAGGTATTCAACATCTCTGTTCCACTTTCCACATATGGAAAATGGGGTTAAAATAGTACTATGGCATGGTCTTTACAGGTTTATAAGGATCAAGTTATATGAGACCACAGATACACCGTGTGTGTGTGTGTGTGTGTGTGTGTGTGTGTGTGTGTGTGTCTGTGTCTATCTGTAAACATATACCATGGTTTGAATGTTTGCCCCCAAACTCATGTTGTAATGGACATTGTAATGGTATTAAGAGGTGAAACTTTTAATAGGTGATAAGGTCATGAGGGCTCTGTCCTCATGAATAAATTAATGCCCTTGTCACATCAGTGGGTTAGTCATCTTAGGTGGGCTCCCGATAAAAGAATGAGCTCAATTCAATTTCCTCGCTCTGTCTCAGATGCTTACTTGCTACTAGCCCTTCCATGTTCTGCCATTGAATGACATGGCACAAAGGCCCTCATCAGATGTTGCAGACATGGCTTTGGACTTCCCAGACTCCAGAACCATGAACCAAATAAACTCTTTGTCTTTATAAATAATCCAGTCTATGGTATTCTCTTACAGCAGCAGAAAACTGGCTAAGACAATACATATACCCATGTGTATGTATGTGTGTGTGTGTATGTGTGCCTGGAATAGTAAGTGCCCAATAAAAAGTAGCTTTTATTACTTGGCCAAAGATAACCCTATCTATGCTTGGAAATTTTTCCTTGAATAAATCTACTTTGTAATTAAGAACACTGTCTTGATTGCTGTTAGATTCACTCTTTGATTTAGTTAAGATGGAAATATCTTGGAAACTTTTAATGAATAGGCTGAACAAACTAATACAACCTTCAAAATCGAAGTACAAAATAAAGCAGTGTTTAAAACATGTCTTGTCAAGGATGTCCACTTTCACCACAGTTATTCAACATAGTACTGGAAGTTTTAGCTAGAGCAATCAGACAAGAGAAAGAAAGAAAGGGCCTCCAAATTGGAAAGGAAAAAGTCAAATTATCCTTGTTTATAGACAACATGATCTTATATCTAGAGAAACCTAAAGACTCCACAAAAAATAAAAAAAACTATTAGAACTGATAAACAAATTAGGTTGAGGAATCCAAAATCAATATACAAAAATCAGTAGCATTTCTATATGCCAAGAAACAATCTGAAAAGAAACCAAGAAAGTAATCCAACTTACAATAGCTACAAATGAAATAAAATACCTAGGAATAAACTTAACTAAAGAAGTGAAAGACCTCTATAATGAAAGCTATAAAACACTGATGAAATAAATTGAAGAGGACACACACAAAAAATGGTATTCCATGCTCATGGATTAGAAGAATCCATATTGTTAAAATATCCATACTACCTAAAGCAATCTACAGATTCAATGCAATGCCCATCAAAATACCAATGACATTCTTCACAGAAATAGAAAACATAATCCTAAAATTTATATGGAACCACAAAAGATCCAGAATAGCTAAAGGTAAAGCTGAGCAAAAAGAATAAAACTAGAAGAATCACATTATCTGACTTCAAATTATACTACAGAGCTGTAGCAACCAAAACAGCATAGTACTAGCATAAAAACAGATACATGGACCAGTGAAACAAAATAGAAAATCTAGAAATAAATTCACATATCTATAGTGAACTTATCTTTGACAAAGGTGCCAAGAACATATAGTGGGGAAAGGACAGTCCCTTCAATAAATGGTGCTAGCAAAACTGGATATCTATATACAAAAGAATGAAACTAGACCCTTATATCTCTTGCCAAATACAAAAATCAAATCAAAATAGATTAAAGACTTAAATCTAAGACCCAAAACTATGAAACTACTACAAGAAAACATTGGGAAAATCCTTCAGGACATTGGTTTGCACAAGGACTTTCTTGAGTAATAACCCCAAAGCACAGGCAACCAAAGCAAAATTGGATAAATAGGACCCCATCAAGCTAAAAAGCTCCTGCACAACAAAGGAAATAATCAACAAAGGGAAGAGACAACCCACAGAATGGGAGAAAATAATTGCAAACTACCCATCTGACAAGGGACTATAAATAGAATATATAAGGAGCTCCAACAACTCTATAGGAAAAAATTAAATAATCTGATTAAAAAATGGGCAAAGGATCCGAATAGACATTTCTCAAAAGAAAACATATAAATGGCCTACAGCTATATAAAAAATGCTAAACATCATTAATCATCAGAGAAATGTAAACGAAAACTAAAATGAGGAATCATCTCACCCCAGTTAAAATGGCTTTTATCAAAGAGATAGGCAACAACAAATGGTGGCAAGGATGTGGAGACAGGGGAACCCTTGTACACTGTTGGTGGGAATATAAATTAGTGCAACCACGATGGAGAGTGGTATGGAGGTTCTTCAAAAAACTAAAAATAGAAGTACCATTATGACCTAGCAATCCCACTGCTGGATATATATCCAAAGGGGAAATCAGTTTATCAGAAAAATATCTACACTCCCATGTTTATTGTAGCACTATTCACAATAGCCAAGATTTGGAATCAACCTAAGTGTCCACCAACAGATGAATGATGAAATAAAACTGTAGTACACACACACAATGGAATATTATATAGCCACAAAAGAATGAAATCCTGCCATTTGCAACAACATGGATAGAATTGGATAAGATCATGATAAGTGAAATAAGCCACACACAGAAAGATAAATCTCGAATGTTCTCACTCATATGTGGGAACTAAAATATTAAAACAATTGATCTCATGGAGACAGAGAATAGAATGACGGTTACCAAAGGCTAGGAAAGGTAGTGCGGAGGCAGGTAATGGGGTAAAAATATAATTAGATAGAATGAACACTATTTGATAAAACAAAATGACTATAATCAGCAATAAATTAAGATATACTTTAAAATAACTAAGAGTAGATTTAGAATGTCCCTAACACACAGAAATGATCAATGCCTGAGATGGTGGATACTCTAATTACCCTGATTTGATTAATTCACACTGTATGCCTGAATCAAAACATCATATATAGCTTATAAACATATAAAGCTATTATGAACCCATAATTACAAATTTTAAAAATCTAAAAATAAAATAAAATAGAAAAAATAAATTACCATTTTTTTTTGTGGCTGAGTTGTACTCCAATGGAAAAAAAATAGAAAAAGTAAATAAGACCTGTCTTATGACCAATAGGAACACTGAGACATGCTTTCTAATTGATTGTATTCAGTTTTCACCTCAGAGGCCACCAAGAAAAGGAGCAATATTTGAAAAATTGCATGAAGTTGCATACAGTTTAATTAAACATTATTTCTAGAACTCCAAATCACTTCACAAAAGCAATTCTTTCATTCTCAGATGTTTAAGCCAAAAATCAAAAAGGTATTCATGCAAATGAGTCAAAATGGCAAAATCTTAGATTTTATTATTACATTTATTTGAAGTTTAGAAAAGGTCCAAAATATTTCTACCCAACAGCCAAGTCAAAGATAGTGATATAACTCATTACTGCAATGATTTTTTTCCTTAGCAGATGTAGGTCACTTGGCAAGTCTCAAATGTGTGATTGGTAAGCTCATGAGTAGGGCAAGGGACCATAAAGCAAAAGCATACTGCACACAAATTTCTAATCTAATGAAAATTACTACCAACGCAAACCATACTCCATGCATTTTTGTCACGAGTGGTACCAAAGTACATGCATTAAGAAACCAAATAGCTAATTATAGTATAATGGCTCGTAAAATAAGGCAGAAAAAGTATGTTTACGCAGTAAAGGGTACCGAGATCAAATGATAACATCATCATGGGAAAAGGATGGGAATCCCAGGCCCTGAGTCTCCTGAGTTAATGCATCTGCTTGCCAGTATTGAACAATGACAGCAGAAATCCCTTTTTAAATCAAGTGTTATGGGATACGACATAAGCCATTCTGACAAACATCGTTTTCTATGTTCATACGAACATGGACTCTCTTTAAAGGGGCCATGGCTCGAGACTCTTTCTCAGAATAAATTTCCATAAGATTTACTGCTTATACTGAGCAAAGATGATGCCTATTCCTAATGCCCGTCAATTGGTGTAATTTCAACTTGAAGTGAAATGACTAGGGTTTGATTTGTTAAGCAAGAAGTTATTTGTGTGAGGAGAGTTCCTGTGTTGAGGGTTTGCCAAATAATTTGCAATCATTTTTCTGGTACTCAAATTATAAAAGGAGGTGAGCATTTTGGATTTTGATATTCTACTTGATACTCTTACTGTGATCTTCTCCCCATCCAACCCAGGATGTTTTTCACATTTAAAAAAATTCTTCAAGCTGTCTTTGTATTTTATTTATGTATATTGGAAACTTGAGAGGGTCTGGCTGAGGGCCTAATAGCATTTTTCATATTGCCTAAGTGCAATTTCTTATTCCATGCACCACCTGGGTAGGCAAGCCCATAATTTCAGTTACCATTCATAAGGTTGATAATTGCCAAATTTGGCCCTTCCTCTGAGCTTCTGATCCATACATCTAACTTCCCACCAAACAGTCCCTGCTTGTCACCAAGATTGTCAAGGTTGATGCGTCCAAAGTGAATTCACCAACTTCCTGTATGCACACTCCTCCTCCTAGGTTTTCTTTTTCAATGAATGGCAACTGTCCACCCAGCTGACCAAACCTTCATCTTCTCAATTAGCACTCAACCTTCTCCATTTCCTCTCCTAAACATCTCTAAGTATATACACATTTTCCCATTCTTTCTCCCCTAATTCTGGCCAACATGATCTCCCTTGAACTCCTGTGACTGGCCTCCTATTTGGTCTCTCTGCATGTACTCTTTCTTCCTTCCATTTGGTCCTCTATCCTCAAAGGGATATTTCAAAAATCAAATGTGATTGGCTCTTATTTAAAGCACTTCAGTGACTTTCTATCACCTTGCAGGATAAAGTTTGAACAGCAGCTTGCAAGACCTTGGATGCCTCGTCACTGGCCATCTCTTCAGACTTCTCTATTACAAGTCACAACTTAAAACGTATTGGACAGCTATTCTGAACTGTGTCCAAGACTTTTGCTTTGTGCTCTCACCTCTTGGCCTGTCTTAGTTTGCATTGCTGTAATGGAATATCATAGACTGGGTGGCTTAAACAGCAAACATTTATTTCTTGTAGTTCTGAAGGCTGGGAAGACCAAGACTAAAGCGCTGGAAGATTCAGCATCTGGTAAGGGCCCACTTACTCATTCTTAATGTGCTCTCTGGGGTCTCTTTTTATAAAGGCACTAATCCCATTCAGGAGGACACCACCCTTACCAATTCATTACCTCCCAAGGAGCCCACCTCCTGATACCATTTTATTGGGTTTAGTGTTTCAACATATTGATTTGGGGTGAGAGAACACCAACATTCAGCCCATAAAACAGCCTTAATGTATGTGATTTCTAACTGTAGAAACACTATTCTTCCTACCTGGTCAACTCCAAATCTCCCTTCAGTCTCTACCTGGTTTCCCTGTTCTCCTGGGTTGCCTTCCTGACCCCCCAATTCTGTATTGGTGCTGTTTATCAAACATCCTCAGCACTCTAAGCTTTCCCAGCAAATCATAAGGATTAAGCTGTTTTGTATTTGCATGTTGACATGTCTAACTGCCCCCACTATACTGACATCCACATGATACAGAGAAACATATCTACCTTTCTGCAGCCATAGTCTCTGGGTGCAGCCCAGCACATGGCACAGTGGGTCTTCAAAAACACTTGTGAAATGAATTAATCAATGAATGTTTTTATACTAATGATTTCCATCCGGAAAAGGTAGGGTAACGTAAATAAGAATATTACCCATTCCCTTAATGGTGGTTTTTGATAAAATAGTTACTTTTATGTAATTTAGTTTATTAAGCTTTAGGTTTTAGAAGGGAGAAGGAACAAAAGAGAGAGTTCAAACCTTCACTGTAGCTCCTGGGAAGAAAAGCCAGTTGCCCGTGTCCACTGGGTCAAGACTGTCCTCTAAAATGACTTGTCTGTGAGCGGAATTGATGACCAGGATGTTATCTAAGGCCCAGCAGGCTTCATACACTTCGCCTACACGAAGATTCTCCTGCTTCCACCGAAACTGGACGTTCTCCCCTTTGGTGTCTTCAGGAAGGTAGAGGATGTGGATGATGGTGCTGACGTTGGAAGGGGCCCTGGAACACATGGTGACACGGGGAGGTCAACAATGCCAATTTTTTCTTTCTTGTAGATGCATTTTGTTTTCTTAAGCCTGTAGTTTCATGAACTAAAAAAAATGTTATGCTTATTATAGTTTAAATATTCACAATCCCGTAGCCCTTAAGTCTTTTAATATCTGCTGATCATTAAGGTTTTCATACTGAATGATGACAGTTTAAATGCCGAACACCTTCAAGAGGTTTATGTGTAACACAAGGCAGGGACTAAGTACATTCAAGTAAGCCAGTAAAGGAAAAATCGAAGAGAAAATGGCACACACTGCCATGGCTTGTACAAAATATCAAAGTTTATCCAGCTCAGTTTTTTGGACATGGTAGACATGCAATCTAAAACAGTTCAGTTTACTTGATAATAAGGGAAAAAAGAGGCAAACTATAAAATTGTGATTTTGATTCTTACTTTGAAGTTATGCACCCATTGGAGGCTACTGTGTGCAGTATGTTTAATAATCAGCCTTTATGGAATAATTATTTTATTTCTAGTAACCAGATGTGTTTTTCATATGTTCAGTCTATATGAAATAAGAGATTTGCCATGAGAATGAAATGTTCTCATTTATAATTCTTTATAATTTCATGCAGATCAATCTTTAAAAACATGATAGAATTTGACATGATTTTTACATTACATCTGTTAGAATCTAGGCCCTTCCGCTATATAATAAAATATTTTTATTAAACATTTCCTTCTACCAAAGCAGAAACCTGCTATAGTAAAAATGATTGCCTTTGCCAAGATTAAAAGTGGTACTAAAATGCAAACTAGTAGTACCCTAGGCTTGCTATAAATCAGTTTTGAAAGGACTAGAGAAAAGCCATATTTTTTACTCACCAATGAAGCACATATATATCCGTAAAATTGTCAGTATAGGTTATAGATGGTGTACCTTACCTTTGAGGGTAATCAATTCTCTTTTCTTTTAGAATATTTCATAATGACTATGCTTTTAGTTTCAAAAGGAATTTAAATTGATGAAAAGAACACATTTTGGTTTTAGGTAGTGATTGGAAACACTTTCGCTCTAGTCATCAATGATAAGAGAAATTTGGATTAATGAGTATGACGGTTTGGTACAGGGTCTAAAATTGAAAGCCCCATTTAGTGAAAAAAATAAATGGAATCAACTGAACATGATCTTTATATGTTATAATTAAATGTGTAGTTTCATTATTTATATCAAAAGCATGTAGCAGTTTTCTAGCAAGAAATATGTACCATGATTTACTTAAACTATGACATATAGCATACTAGAAAGAGAAAACAATGGAGATGTGGTTACCCAATATTCCCCCAATATTTATGCTGTATTAAAGTCATTTATATAAATATTTAATGTTAATGCATTCTCATAACTATTGGAAATTAGAAAGAATAGTAAACTGTTCTGTTATAAAATTGGCACAGCATGTCAGAACTCAGTTAGACTAGTGAGCTTAGGTTTGTGAAGTTTTTATTTCTTTCTTTTTTTTTAAATACGATTATTGTAGAAACTTTGCACAAATTGGTTTAGTATTATACAGAGCCTAATATTTATCCTGTTATCCTAAATAAATCAATCACAGCTCTTTTTTTTTTTTTTTTGAGAAAGAGTCTTGCTTTGTTGCCCAGGCTAGAGTGAGTTACATGGCGTCAGTCTAGCTCACAGCAACCTAAATCTCCTGGGCTCAAGCAATCCTACTGCCTCAGTGTCCCAGATAGCTGGGACTACAGGCATGCGCCACCATGACGGGCTAATTTTTTCAATATATATTAATTAGCCAATTAATTTCTTTCTATTTATAATAGAGACGGGGTCTCGCTCTTGCTCAGGCTGGTTTCGAACTCCTGACCTTGAGCAATCCGCCCACCTCAGCCTCCCAGAGTGCTAGGATTACAGGCGTGAGCCACCACGCCCACGCCCTACAGCTCTTTTAATATAGAAATATAATAAGGAAAACAGATTAGAGAAGAAAGAAAACTGCAACAAAACTGACAGAAAACATTCTACTTAAGTTATGCTAATATAAGAACTAACCCAATCATAATAATCACTTGACAAAAGTTCAAGGTATTTTTTCCTTTAAATATCTTATACTTGAAACTCAGCATCCAATTTGAATTTTCTTTTATAATTTAAACTCTGCAGAAGTGATAAACAGGATTTGAGTTTTGGTAATTTAACCAAATATTTTTAACATGAGTGAGTTTCTTCTTCCTCAAGCATAATACCTCATTTTCTTGTTGAGGGATTTTTTTTTTAATAAAGAAAATATATGATTAAAAGTCATATCACAATTATGATAATAGAATTTTAGAACTGGCCTTAAGGAAGTTAGAGGAGAAGTGATAAAACTAGAGAGTAGATGTCAAAGACCCAGTAGCTTTTAACTCAGTATCATCACAGACTGAAAGGGATTTAGCTGGTCATCGGATCTATTCCCAGGCCTATAAACCAGGCTAGAGTCAGGTCATCTAGAGCAAGGTGTGGCGATGCTACTTTGTGAAAGATGCTATCATAAAGGTTATGATCCCAATGTGCTTTTACTAAATTAGTTTGTTATAAGTACCACTGACAATGGGAAGTTCTGAACAGAAAATGACACTTGTAACAGTATCTTCTTTAAGTAGGTAGGTCATAATATGTGTATGCTTATCATTCAACGTAGTTAACAACCAGAGTGCTTTTAACCATACAGGAAAAGTCAGTGGTAGAATGAAGGCAAATGGGGAAGTAGAAATCCAACCCCATCAGAACTTATGAAAATAACCTTAAATTACAACAAACCTAATTTTCTCAAGCTGAATCCAGTCTGCAGAATTATTCTTGGCATATGACACGATGATGCTGGGGTCTGAGTAACTGAAGCGACACGAACCTGACCCTGTAAATGACGATAACAATAAATGTCAAAGTTAAAAAGCAGATAATAATATATATTATCTTTTCTGATAAATATTTTAGATAACTTTAAACTATTTAGGGTATTTATCTGGTCATTTTCCCATTCTTCTAACTATGCTGAAATTTCCTGTGATCTGTTCTAACAAATATCATTTGATAAATAATCTCAGGAATCAGAAAAAAAGTTTACAAAAGGTAAACTGCATATTTCTTTGGACATACATTTAATTTGCAACTACTAAATTAAAGTAAATTAACAGTTCTATGCCAAAAACACCTAGGTATTATAAAATGACTAATAATGCCATTATGGTTCTTGCAAGTTAATACCAATTATTAGTGATTACATTAAATGGTACATAAGTCATTGAGGAATAAAAACACCATTTTTTTTCTGTGTATGTATTACCTAAATGATGCAACAGTATATGAGGAACTAAAATATTGTACAGAAAATTCAAATGCTAAATGAATGATAACTATTATTGATGTGATAGATATTACTCTACCACAGCCCAACATTAGAATTTAAAATAGATATTATGCCCCATGGTGAATATTTGTGATTATTTCTAGTTATTATTTTTAATATTAAAAATATAAACACCAAAGAAAGTTTAAAATTGATATGACTTTGTTTCTGTATGTTCAGTGAAATCATATAATAAAGCATAGTATGACTATAATTTCAAAGATCTTAGAATACCCAAAACATCTACAAAACACTTGCCAGAAGTTTACTGTAACTGATGTAGCAGTATTTTTTATACTACATTAAAAGCAAATGAACCAAAAGGAAAAGGAATCATGCAATTTATGTTTCACTTCCACCCATCTGCTAGACGAGCCCCCGTTTCAGCAAATGGCATCTGTTGACGGTTTTACATTTGTAGTGCTCCGGGGTTCCAAGCTTTAATCAGACTCATTTATTTCTGTGGTGTTTAGTACAAAACCAGTTAGTTTGCAATTGCCAAAGTTGGCAATGTACTAAAAGGCCAAACAGCAGTTTTCCTAGATTTATTCTCACAGCCAAAACGTAGGTGAAAAAGCATGAAAGAAAGAAGCATTCAAAGGAAAGCTACCCAGCACCCCTGATTGCAAATGGAAACC